TTGTGTGTGTGTGTGTGTGTGTGTGTTTATGGGACAATACTAACAATCTAATACTATGTGGGTAAAACCTTAATACAAAATTAAATGTACTGGACTGAATGGCCTCAGCTGTGTAAAAATGTATAGCAAAAACCACAAGGAAGTTCAGTGAAGAACTGACAGGGGATAATCCCTGGATAGGGTATTACCAATGATTTTAATTGCATCATACTTCTTGATATGTTTCAAAATAAGAACTGCTTTTTCTTTCAGAAAAAAAATTAAAAACACATTTTAATATGTGGCAGGTACAGCTGCTTTAGATGAACACCACAGTCCAGAAAAACAAGCCAGTGGAATTACTACACGGGAGCAACAGGGCAGGTGGCCTGGGGAAGAGGGTGGTGTTTGTGTAATGCCCTCCCTCACCACTAGGGGAGCCCTTCTTAGTGATGGTCTGAAGGAGGAAAGCCACTTGTAGGCCCACAGATAAGGGTAAGGACCATTCCCTGTTCATACTCTGTACCTTCATGGCTGGAGAGAGGGAACATATTGCCAGGTAGCCCTCACAAGAGGAGAAGGAAAAATGTTTGTAATTTGAAAACTAGCATCGCAGGACTATAAAATATAATATCATGGTACCCAGAAGAAAACAACATACGGAAGCCAACCTAATTCCATGACTGTCGGCATTTCTTACACCTCCCAGGAGCTTCTGATAACCCATCCACCTCACAAGAGATCACCTGACACATGATACACCATGTGTATCTTCCAGTGTGCAGGCAAAAGCACAGGTATCTGGGCATCACGTGGCGTTTGGAGGAATGCAAAGGAGATGGGTTGTTGAGTAAGTTCAGACAGCCCCACATCTGGGCCAGCACACAGACAACCAGGAAAAACATTAAAAGAACAAACAGCCTTTTCATTTTTTGAATTCCAATCAAGAGGTGAACGAATGTTTTTATTTGGTAACCAGAAGAACATATAGGTACGTATTCACTGCTGGTTGCTGGGGGGAAGTATGCACGAAGGACCCGTCAGCCTCCTCAGCAATAAAGACTTACAACAGACACGGGATTTACTGAGAGCAGTTAGCACACCCTGTTTTACACGAGTCCCTATGTTTTATTTCTGTGTTTGGAGATGTAACACCATGACATTTGACATACAAGTTTCAGTACAAGCCAGTATCACAGGGATCAAAACATTCTTGTTTAGGATGAATGGCCACTCTCTTGCCCTTTGATATACAAATGTGAATTACAGCCTGCCTTTTATCGGCTTGGAACCTATTTCACATGGTAGAAGTCCGTTTTGTCGCTGCCATAAAACAGAGGCCCGTCCATTTCGCCGTCTTCCCTTGCAGAGGAACATTGGGAGAACACACCCAGAGATCCCTTCCTGTTCCCTCCAAAGAGCTGTTCACTTGGCACCATCTGAATTGGGGTTTGGGGTTTGCTTTCTGCTTGCCTCCCTCTTTTGAATCTTGGCAAGCATTTTGACATTCATCCAGGCAGCACCCACAAATCCAGCTGAACAATAGCAGAATCTAAGGCTCAGATGAGCTCATTTACCCGTTCGCGTATGGCCAGCACCCTCATTAGGAGAGTGTGCACACCAGGGTGAGGGTCCACCACCCCAAGGAAAAAACCCTGTAACAGCAAAAGCTGCGCTCTGTGCAGAGGAAGACACTAACAGCATCGCATTAGCCCGACGTGACTCTCCTGGCTTTGGGAAACTGAGTTCCCATGAGGATTCCCTTCTCCTGCTCCCCCTTCCCCAATCTGGTCCCTCTTCCCTGACTCCTCCTACCCAACATGCCCTCATGTGGCTCAGACAGGAACAACACGGCAAGCAGAACAGTGTGCCTTGTCAGAGGCAAAAGAAGGGACGTGCCATTCCAAAGCTATTGGGCTCTAATGGACTTTATTTAAATGAGTTCCCCTGCACCACGGAATGTCTGAGGAATGCTTCTGCAGCTCCCACCGATTCCTGGGTGAGGTTCAGGAATCGTGGCTGAAGCTGACAAAGCCAAGAGCCTCTACCACAGCACTGAGCGGCCTGCCTCAGCCCCCAGTTCCCCTGGAGATGTCAGGATTCGACCCATTTCCATGTGGGCACAGAAGCCAGAACAAATATAAATTCATTCCAAATACATCTGCCAGTATTTAAAAAACAAAAACAAAGGGTGAGGTGTGGGGCATGGGTTCAAATGATCGGGAATAAATCGTGTGTAAGGGGACTTCCGTGAGTTTCAGTCTGGGTTCCCAGGGCACCCCACTCTTGTTTAAGGTAAAAACAAAATGTTCTTCCGATGAAGCAGTTCTTTTCCGGAGCATCCGGCTTGTACAAGTGTCCGGTGAGAACATCCATAGGGACCACTCCCATTTGTCTAACCTCCCTGGACCCAAATTCACTTCTCCGGTGAACTTGGCCTCATGTGCTAAATGGCTGTTTCCATTCTTATTCTAGTAGCACCTCTGTGCCCATCAGGGCCTTTGATGAGAGGAGACCCTAATGCCTGGAATGTGAACTTGGCAGTTAAAGTGTCTCTTGGTTCTCGAGGGATATTTCAGAGCGATAGTGTGCTGTTCGTTACAGCTTTTCCATTAAGTTCATTTTCTAAACGATAATGGGGCTTTTTACTCACGGATCGGTGTTGATGAATTGCAAGTATGGCTTTCCACTTATTCACACGGGAGATCCAATATCACACCATTAGTGCAGCATCATGTTCTTTAACGTCCTGGGCTGCTGTGATTCAGAGCTACACCGACCATGGCATTGGCAGAGCAACACTGGCCACGGTCCCCCACATGGCGCGAGAGTCCACTTGGGGTTTTCAATGCTTCAGCTTGAATTTATAAGTAAATCCACAGGATTGGTGTCATCACCCCTTTTGGAAGAGCGTTTTCAGAAGAATCTTGTTTTGCATTTGTTGTTGTTTTTCTTAAATCCAAAAGCCATAGAAAAAAATTTATCTTTTCATAAACTTGGCTCTGACAATTTTCCCCAGATGACCTGCAGTTTCCCATCCCTCATGAAGAGCCACTATGCTATTAGCTATCTCTGCATATACCGTACTTAGAGCACAAGCCTTTAGTGATATGCTTGGCCTATGGGAGACATCAACTAAATCGCCAGGTGAGTTCGCACCCCCAGGTGGACAGTGGAATTCCGCTGGACAATTCTCCATGTGCCCCCTGGAGGCAAGTGCCAGGCACCATAATGAACCCGTGGTGATTCCTGGTGGAATGTGTGGGGATCTTGGTATTAGGACAAAGTTTCCAATTGAGAAAAAAAATTCCTGGATTCCCTAAATCCCCTCTACTTGGGACATAATACTACGTACATGGGATTTAATCTCAGAATCTTCTCTATCTCATTATCAGAAAAAGAGCTTTGTGCTTTTTTTTTCTTTTGTTTTTCCCCATACTCCATGGGAATGTTATCAAGTAATTTCTATCATGTAAGTCTCCAATCAAGGGTTAATAATAGAAGAACATATACAGTGGTGCCTCACACAACGAACTTAATTCGTTCCAGGAGCAAGTTTGTTATGCGAAAAGTTCGTTATGTGAAACGCGTTTTCCCATAACAATACATGTTAAAAAAAATAATTCGTTCTGTAGCATAAAATATGCTAAGATGACATAAAAAAAGATAAATTTTTTGTTATTATTTTTATTTAGATACATCATGATATAAAAAAAATATTGAGTTTAACTTAAAAGGACGACTGCCGTGATACGTGCGTGATTTAATTCGTAATGAAGAACGATTGCTGCGATACGTGCTTAAGTTAAGCGCAGTGACTAACGACTGCCTGCAGTGCCTGCACGGAAGGATGCAATACATCGGCAGCGATCGTGGAAGCTCGGGCAAAGCGGTCGTGGAAGCTCGGGCGACTTCGTTGTGTGAAACAAAGTTCGTTGTATGAATCATGAAATGAAGTTCGTTGTGTGCAGCGTTCGCTGTGCGAGGCGTTCTTTATGCGAGGCACCACTGTATTATACAGGGCATCCCCCAAAAATGTATACACACTTTAACAGCTGATAGCTCAATTTTGAAAATGAAATATATTTAATAAACATTGCCTTTATAATTATTCCAAGAGTATGTATATATGTTTAGGAAGACCCTATATATTCTATCTAGCTCTCATCTATCTATCTATCTATCTATCTATCTATCTATCATCTTTGTATCTATCATCTATATATCTAGAGAAAGGTGATCCACAATAGAAGTGGCACTAAACAACCAGTATCTTTACTCCTAAAATATGGGTCACAATATTAATCTCCATCCCTTTGCTCTCTGTCTCACATTCTGTGATAACACTGCTCCTTATTTTCTACTTCCCACATTTACTAAAGGCATGGTTCTAGGTGGGATACATAACAAAATGGCTTTAAATCTGCAAGTGAAGTAAGCAGGTACACTAGATTATGCTTTGGCTCTGTGAGGTTTAGATATCATTTTATTGTTTAAGTATACCAGGTCCTTAATGGGATCCCATCAGATGTTTTCAATGGTTTTTAAAAGCCCCAAGAATGAAATGGGCAGTGGAAGAAAATCCATTTGAACTTAATGGGTTAGAAACGAGTCCCTTGTGTGCTACCATAAGCTGTTTGGTAGGCTCATAAACCAAGAAAGGTTGGTGTGAATAAAAGATGGAACAAAGACCTCCCTACGGTAGTCATTATGCCACAGAAACATGCCACATCAACAACACTTGGTGGAGAGCTGTTTGGACTCCATTTGTCATTTGTCCCTCAAGGACATGGAGAACTTGGTTTGTCCTTGGTGGGAATGCCCCTACCACTTTCCCTGCACACCAGTCAAGTCTTATTTCCAGTGTGTGGGCCCGTGCTTTCTATGAGACAATGTAACACACAGTAAGATGCCACAGTCCGAGTGATGGAAGGAAGTGTGTCCCATATCACTGCTCAATTTGGAGGAAAGTGTTTCAAGAGAACCAACAGACTATAGAAAGTGAGCTAGAGTTTTAGAGAAGTTGTTAATCCAGTCAATACGGGCTTGGAATCATTATTTTAATGTTTTATCTGCTCCAGTATCAATTCATAGCATAATAACACATTGTTTTATGTTTTCAAAAAAAAATAGATCATTCTGCATCTTTACTCAATGTCCTTTCAAAACAGTTTTTAAAAGAATATATAAGTAAAAGTTACATGGAGCTTTTATTTTCCCACACAGAGAGTTCCAAGCAGAGTCTATACTGAATGAAATTCTATTCCCATTCCTTTTTCAGCTAATGAATGACTTAAAGCAAATGAAGTATATTTTCATTCTATTGGTGCTAGAAAAGAAATGGCTATATTCCTGACTTTTTTTTTTTTTAATAGTGTTTAGTCTTGCTCGTTAGAGTATAAAAGGGAAGCTGTAGGCTTTCTATTAGGACTGGCTGCAAAGCCCAGCATACAAAAATATGGAATCAATTTGAGGTAAAAGGTCAGGTTCCAAAGTCAAGTACTGGATGTAGTCCATCCCTGTACCAGACCAGAACATCTCTAAGACCACTATGTGCAAACTGATGTCCCACAGATTGAATGCAGGTCATAGGCACATTTTCTCTGACCAGCACAGTGTCTGTAAGTTTCTGAATTAGTAGCCAATGTTTAAAATTTTGGAGAGGGTTCCTATAAAATCTTTGTTATTTATCAAGATCCTCATTCCTGCCCACTAGTGTGGCTCAGTGGTTGAGCATCGAACCACGAACCAAAAGATGATTGGTTCAATTCCTGGTCACGGCACATGCCAGGGTTGTGGGCTCCATCCCTGTAGGAGACAGCCCATCGATGTTTCTCTCTCATCAATATTTCTATCTCTTTATCCCTCTCCCTTCTTCTCTCTCTAAAATCAATAACAACATACTTTTAAAGGACTCTGATTCCTAAGCATTCCCATAGCTGACTAGTAACTGTCCCCTGAGCCAGGACTCTTAACTCCTCCCTCTCCCTGCCACTCTTCACTGCCTTCCTAAACACCAAAGCCCATTATGAATTGCCAGTTATCACAATAACTCTGAGAGCTCTGCCTTGCTTTCCTCACTTACCAGAACTGCTATGGCTGTGGCTGAATTTGTGACCACCTTGTTTACTGTGGTCACTGTTGGGAAAAGCAGGGGGAGGCTCAAAAAAATGTGTGTGATTCCCGGGCAAAATGAAGAACCCTGTTCCAGTACCAGTGCGCCATAGGCATGCGCAGTTCTTCAGGCCTTTGGGGGGGGGGGGGGGGGCGGTTGGCGGCTCAGCGAGGCAAAGGCGTTGCAGATGACAAACATACTCTCTCTATTCCCTTCTGAAGAAATGCCAACATTTTGCCTTAGTTGTGAGCGGATTTTTAAATGTTTGTTTTTGTGCTTTTCTAAATGTAGAAATAAAATGTGCGGGCAACGCCCTCGGGTGTAGCATAGAGCCCTCTCTTCCCATTACAAATCCCACTCGTTCACACGGATCCATGCGATTCCCCTTGGGAGGGACTCACATATTCCTTTGTGAACCACAACCGTGTCTTTAGAATCAGTTTCATCCAAATCACACCATCTAGGCCCATAAAATTGCTTTCCCAGCACTCCACTGGGTCTCGTCTGACTTGGTTTCAGGGGCCTGTGTTTTGATTCTCTTTCCAGGCTACGCCTTATTCCTGATTTGTGCTGTGAATCATCTCCTAGTAGGTACCTCTAAAGGCTCACTAAAATGAACAGAATTCTTTGCCACATCTCCCTGCTGCAAAGGCCCCCAGCACTTCCTGGAACAGACAAAAGAGCAATTAAGTCAAACCACAGATTGCCAAAAGAAGAGGATCCACCAGTGGTCACATTGTCAATAACCACTTAGTCACGATGCTACCCTGTGAAACCACTGAACAGCATGGTCGTCAGCAGAAACATTCAGGTTCTTATGAATGAAAGCACAGGTAAATTAAGCATCAAAGGTTGCTATAGGAAACATCATTTTTATAAAAACAAAAGGAATCTCATAGTATATAGATGGAAAGAAAAGCCTAAGAACAATTTTTTTTAAGTCTGAAGGGAACCTGGTGGGAAAAAAAAAGAAAAGAAAAGAATGTTTCTGGCTCCGGAAAGGGGAAACCAGAGGCTGGGAGGGAAGCCCGCCCAGCTGTCTCCACCATCGGCAGCCCGTGCAAAAATCACGACACAGAGCAACGGCATGGGCAGTAATAAAATGGCAACTGCTGTCTGCGTGGCCTTTTCAGGCCTTTCTCAGCATCTCCATGATGTCCACTGTCATCAGGCCAGACGAGTGCCTTGAAAGCAGGGCATTAGCAAAGGATTCTGAGGAAGTCCTTCATGTTTTGGTTCTGTTTGTGCAAAATCTCAAGTTGTTTTGTTTTCTGGGGGTTGGGGGGTAGGGACCATCCCCCAGAGTTCTAAGGCCCCCAAGCCAGCTCCCAGCCAGTCATGCGGGAGGAGATGGCATGAGACAAGGCCAAGGGCGGGGGGCCTTGTTTTTGAAAGTTGCACGCCATCCCCAGCTTTGTGGAAGGAGAAGAAGGAGAATGAAGAAGCTCAGCTAAAATGACGCAAGACATTGGCAGCCTCTCTCATTGTCTGGGAGGTGTTTTTTTACTCTTCTGAATCTGAAAAAAAGAAAAAGAAAAAGAAGAGTGTCAATGCTGCCTTTCCCCCCCCTTCTCCAACCACCAGGTCTGAGGAGAAGAAAATCTGAGGGCAAAAATAAAAAGGGGAGGGGGGGCACCAATTAAACATTTCAAGGCTAGTCATGGCTGTCTCCTTTGTAACATAATCGCTCTGTTCATAAAGGGGAAATCTCAGTGAGAATTGTAAACACAGATCACGTTTGAAACGAGATCACCAAACATTTGGCTCATGCAGTATGGATATTAAGACACCTTATTTTGCCATCAAGATGACAGTGATGACCAACTCTGGTCCATCTGCTCCAGAGGTCAAAAATCAGATTCATCTAACTTGATATTTCAATGCCAAAAGCAATGTCCCTCTATCACAGGGGCGGAGAATGTCTGGCCCTGGGGCTATATAAGGCCCACAAAACCATTTGGTCTGGCCCTGCCAAGACATTAGGGGTGAGTTAATTAAATGTTTGACCAAATAGAGCAGGCTAATTTTCAAGTTGATAATTTTGTATGGCCCACAAATGGTGTTAAAAATATCCAAATGGCCCTTGGGGGGGGGGGGGTGTAGAGGGGGGCATGCAAAGTTCTCCACTCCTACTCTATCAGAATTTTTGTCTCACCCTCAGAAGTTTCCCAAAATATTTAAAGCAAGATGTTAAATTCATTGTGCAGATAGAAAAATCCCCTGAATTCTCTACTACTGGACCCAGAGAGAGATGGGAGAGGAAGAAGACAAGATGTAAGAGGACCAAGTGAATGGGAATAGAAAATACTGGATTTTTCTCACTGGCCTACTCTACAGCACTTAACCTCAATGGACGTAGGACAGAATTTTATAAAAGCAAGCAAACAAACAAGAACCACTATGTTCTGCTTCCCATACACGCTGCATGCTCTGCATATCCTCACATCTCACAGTTTGAGAGGGTTTCCTCTAGTGCAGGGCTCCAAAGGGATGGGGGACTTTAAGAAGAATAACACCATCATCGGAGTCTTTAGAGGACAAGGGAAGTTTCCCGCTCAACGTTAAAGTGTAAGATACTCTCCTAAATAAGACTTAGGCAGCAGACTCACTGAGGGACAGAAGAGTCCTTCCTGATCTATTAATTACAGTGGAGTCTCAATTTTCCTGGGGCCATTGATCCAGACCTCTTTCTCCATTCTGGTCTTGTGTGTGTTTACCCCCCATTAGCACCTTCACCCATTTGGGGGAAATAACAGAAAAAAAGAAAAACTTCCAACCAATCACTGCACTTTGATTCTAGCATTACCAGTGAGAGAAATTGCCCGTCTTGTTGTTGGAACTTGACAGAGAGGGGAAAAGGAAACACACGCTGAAATCAAGGGTTAGAAAATTTCCATTGTGTCTGATTTTCTTTGTGCATCTTGGTCCACATAGTATCTGCCAGATAGGACTCCTCATTTCTCTGGCCCTGACAGCAGTTGGAGGTCATATATAATAAGACTCCTTTTAGATGGTCATCATAGTACTAACCACCTTAAGAGATGTCTCAAGGCCCTCGAATGTAAAACCCAATTTTGTTATGATGACATAGGCTAGTTTAATTTTTAAACATATGACCAATTGGTTGGAAGGAAACCAGGGGCAGATACCTGGAGATGGCTGACCTGGACCACTGTTAACCAGGGCACCTCAAGTATCCAATAAGGAAAGTGTGTCTCCTCCTTCGTGCAACCTGGGTTAGTAGAGACCCACAGTCTAGACTGCTGTGTCCCAGAGATGGGAAGAGGGCCATCTGGGGTGTTAATGGGACCCAAAGGCCTCTGGGAAAAGGTGACCCTCCCTTTCTAGTCGTTGCTTATGAGAGAGGAGGTGAGTGGCTGCTATGGAAGTCTACCCTCCCTCCTCCACCTCCAATCAAGGGATGGAGGAAAAAAGTTGGTCAAGAAGTAGAGGGAAGGGGTACGTAAAGGAAGCTTGTATATCTGAGCTGTGTTTGTGATCCTTGTCAGGAAGTACAACCAACAGTGAAAGAGCAAGAGGCAGATATTTTGTAGCTGAGACTGTGGCCTGCGTGACCATCCCTAGTCTTCCCCAAACACATGCAATCTCTAAAGTAACTTTTATTTATGAATCTCTTAAGGCACTTACTCCAAGGAGACCAGTATCATAGCTATCTGCAGGGAGAAGTCCCACCCCAGACTCCTTGACTAGGTGGGAGATACCTTATTTATCTTTATAACTCTTCTTACATGTAGTGCAATGCCTGACACATAGCATATGCTCGACAAATATTTTTTAATTGAAAGGAAGTAACTTAAATACACATGAGGCAGATGGGACAGATATGGGCATAATGATGAGTAGGGAATTGCTCTCCATTCTTTTTCTAATGTTGACTTTTATTACATTAAAAAGAAAATCATAAATACACTGACTTTTATTCAATTGCAAAGCATGATATGTCAAAAAATTTTATTCCCTATAAAGAAATATTTTATTCAATTGCAAAGCATGATATGTCAAAAATTTTATTCCCTATAAAGAAATATCCTCACTACCAGTGGCTTTGTGTGGGGTAAATCTCCCAGAGAAGGTGCACCTGCTATGCAGGCAGCTGTGACAGTGTTTGTAAATCACGCCTGCCCCTCTCCTCACGCTACAATTCTTCTTCTGAACTTCAAATGTCTTACACTTGCTTTATTGTATTTTTGTTTTGTGTATTTTTTTTCAACTTAAACTACAATTGCAGAAGCATTTTAAACTCAAGTTGGGTGAGACTACAATGCACATGAAAATGGGTATCTTAAGACAATAAAAGAAGCCACTTTGTGTTTAACTGAGCTACTTGACTATTTTTGTTATTGCTACTTTGATTTCTATTAATTGTAAATATATGTTGGCTTTTTGGAAGCGACAAAAAGTAGTTCAACTCACCCACCTTTTTAAGAGGGACTGAAGAACCAAAATGGAAAGTATTTTCACCCAACTTGAAATAATTCAGGAAAGGTTCTAAGCAAGGTCAATCTCCTGTCCCTCCCCTTGATAAGACTTCTGATAACTCACAAAGGGGCAGCCACCAGGTGCTGAAGCCTCAAGTGTGTGCTTGTATAAATTCACAGAAATGTATCTACTCTGAGGGATGAATAGTGAAAAAGGTTTCAGCAACTTGATTTAGAGAAATGGGACACCAACCTGGCCTTGTTGATTTCACCCCTCCCATCCTCCTGCTGCAGGGAAATGGAGATGACGATCTAAACCATTTGGTTTAAAGATCATTGTCTTAAAAAGAAGCATCAAGTTCAAGTTAACATGACTTGACTCTTAAAATGTGTTTACAGGTCATCATGTTTATTCCTAGATCACAAGTTGAGCATCTGTGAGGTGGCCTCATAAGAGATTGGTATTAGACTTAAAAATTCTGTAAATACTTTTCATTTTTCTTGGGTTTGATTTTTTTTTTTTTTAATGCCTAACTATCACCCAAACTCAAAGAAGTAAGCTGATTTGGCTGAGTCCCAGAAACTACCACAACTGCCTCCCTATAAAGTCAACTTTCTACAAAAACAACAAAGTGATATGGTAAGCAACAGAAAGAATGGTAAAAGCTAAATAAAAAAAATAAAAAAAGAATAAAAATGGGGAAGAATAGCCTGGCCAATGTGGCTCAGTGGTTGAGCATCAACCTATGAACCAGGAGGTCAGGATTCAATCCCAGTCAGGGCACATGCCCAAGTTGTGGGCTTGCAAGAGGCAGTGATCAATGAGTCTCAATATTGATGTTTCTCTCTCACTCTCTTCCTCTTCCTTCCTCTCTGAAGTCAATAAAAAGATATTTAAAAACAAAACTGGGAAAGAATAAATATGGTAAGATCAAACCCATTTTTAAATGTCTAATAGAATTTCCATAGGGCTTATACATGGGTCCTGGTTTCACTTTTAATAATAAGGAAATACTACACAAAACAAAGAAACATTATTTTAGAAATAGTTATTGGGATTTAGCCAGATATAAATTTCAGTATTCTAGGTCATAAGTGTAAAACAGCTATTTTAAATGGCTATAACCAAATACCCAAAGTATGAATGCATGCTTACTCCTTGCCCTAAGTGATAGAGGATATGATTATAGTAAGATTATTCTAAATTAATTGCATTGCCTATAATATTGAATACTACAACCATACTGAGATGGATGGATGGATGGAATTAAGATGATAGGTAGATAGGTAGGTAGGTAGGTAGGTAGATAGATAGATAGATAGATAGATAGATTTGTGAGAATATAATTTCCTGAAACCTGCCTATGCTATCACCTCCTAAAATATATTCATTTGGTCCAAACATACAGAATAAGAACAATACAAAGGATGGTAATTCTTTAGTCCAATCCTGTGTTCTTTCTTCATCTTTCCTTTGACCCATGCGTGCTATCACTGAGAAAAATGATGATGTCAACCTTTTATTCTCTAATTTTTTCTGCCTTCTCTCTTCCTTTACACAGCATGGTCTTTCTTTTCACACTTAAAATATGTGAATAGCCAAAACCGGTTTGGCTCAATGGACAGAGCGTCGGCTTGGGGACTGAAGGGTCCCGGGTTCGATTCCGGTCAAGCGCATGTACCTTGGTTGCAGGCATATCCCCAGTAGGGAGTGTGCAAGAGGCAGCTGATCGATGACTTTCTCATCGATGTTTCTAACTATCTCTCTCTCCCTTCCTCTCTGTACAAATCAATAAAATATATTTTAATAATAATAATAATAAGTGAATACCCAGCAATTCCACTTCTGGGTATTTATCTAAAGAAACCTAAAACACTAAATTGAAAAGACATATATCCATATGTTCATTGCATCATTATTTACAATAGCCAAGATACGGAAGTAACCTACCCATTAGTAGAAGAATGGATTAAGAAGTAGTGTATATAAATAATGGAATATAAGGCAGCCATAAAAAGGAATGAAATCTTGTTGTCTGCAACAACAGGGATGAGCCTAGATGGTATTTTGTTAAGTG